ATTCACCTTAAATTGTATAATGTCGCCCAACTGCTGTTCTTGAACTGCTACTTACTTAACATGTTATTATTATTACGAACATAGTTCAAAATACATGTAAGCGTATTATATATTCAGATGACGAGTGAAGCAAAATAAAAAATAAAGTACTGGATTTTTGGGCTACTCATCATTGGTAGGGCTTATTAAGTAGACTGAAGTTATACGAGTTGTCGGATAAAGGTTATAAAGGTCCTCATAAAAAAACTTGAAGTGAACTAATGTAACTTTTTTAACCTCTTTTTTTTAGCTCAAAAAAGCCATGTTTATTTTTAGCTAAATACTAGTGATTTATGAGCTAACTCACAAATATGATAACTGAAAGTTCAATGACTAATTTTAAAAAGATTACTTAGGTAAGCAGTCATTTCTCCTGTTTTTAATAAGAAAAAAAGAAAAAAAGACGGGCTATAAAAAATTTTTTTCTACATCTTATAGTTTACTACTTTCAATACATCTGCCCTTTAATAACCTTAATAATTTTCGAAAAGTTGTTACCTTTGCACAGCAAACTGTATTAAGTGTCTTCGGTCTTCAGCAACCTCAGTTTGGGCAACTGTTCCATCGGCGTATATTCCTTCGCTTCGAAGCTGCTTGACGGCATCCTAGAATAAGTTAAAAAAAGAAAATTTGATTCTACTTAACTTTTGCAAGAAAACATACCTGAATACTACATCTTTTAAAAGTTTACCTAGAGTTTTTTCTGCTGCAATAACGTGAAAATAATTTAGAATTTGAAATTTTTGCTCGTTTATTGTATTGTTTGGCAGTCAAACGTCAGTGCGTAAACTGTGATTATTGTGTGACTACTTTTCAATAAAATCAGTTTAGCTGTAATATAAGTGTTGGATTGTGAAAACAGTACTTGCGAATGTATTTTATTACATACATTGGCTTTGTAGTGACCAAAAAAAATTTTTTTTGGTTATTTCAAAAAAGCTGATGACAGTACTGATGAAGAAATTCACACTTCAACATTACGTTTATTTTTGCTACTAATAACAACCGATGCCCCATTAAGGCCTAAACATTTTGCGATGGCAAACCCAACACCCTGAAACAACAGAAAACTTCAAAAAGTATTATGTTGGTTTTTCACTTCAATTATTTGTAAAAACAAGGCAAATAAAATTTTAAATCTGGAGATTTTTGAAACAACTGTTGGCTTAATCTTATCGACCGACGCTGACGTACCCCAAAAATAGCAATTTTCCACTACTGATAATGTCTTTAGATTGAAGGAAACATGATTGAAAAAAGTAATAAAATTTTCAAGTTTTTGCTGTGAAGCAGGAAAATGATAGGTGAAAAAGATAAATAAATAAAAGAGAAGAAATGTGTTTGGTAAAAATGAAAATAAGTGAAGAAACTTAGATAATCATTTAAACCAAATATGACTGAATAAAAAATTATGAAAAGTAAAACAAAAGTTTTTCAATAAATATTACCGCTTATTAAACAGCGTTCAGAGAGAAAAGTCAGGACCTATTTGTCAACAGAATTACACCAAAAAGAAAGATTAATTGAAGTTTTAAAAATTTGAAATCTTCTAAATTCAGTTAGTTTCGCAAGCCGTCAACTGCCAACTTTTGAACCTCTGTCTATTTTGAATTCTGTTTTTAAGCATACAGTTATCCTACGTCTTCTGATTTCAAAAGTTATCTGTAATGGTGTGTGTGTGCGTTCGTTCGTTTTTTCGTTCAAAGAAATTTTTGCGTAACAGTTGTAATTTTTTTAT